CATGATCATGACCAGTTTATAAAGTCAACATTTATTTAAGCATCATTAGGACGCTGACAATGGCATAAATAATTCACAATCTCAATAGAATAAGAGAAAACAGATAAATAAAGTGTCCAGTCTAACTGCATATTCACATGATAAAATATTCAACCTAGGCTACCTGAATAAATCTACACTGATGCAGGTTTGCATATGGAAATTAAATTAGTAAAATTCTAATTGCAGGATTTACAAGTTTTATGAATTATCTACAGAAAATAGCTAGCAAATAGTTTTCATTGTAACTGGTAGACAACACTAGAAATATCACACAATTCAAATAATCACATTCAGGCTACATTGCTTTTTGTTACTACCATGACCTGGGGTTTTAAAATGACAGTCCTTAAGTCAGAAAAATGTACACTCTTAATTTAAATTCAGACTACCTTTAAATAAATACAGAATAGCTAACTTCTGCCATCATTTAACATAATATTCAAATTATTCAGAGTTACATGCAAGAATACAACCAACCTGATCTGAATTGAGTTGTCTACAACCTCCCAGATCTAGTCCGAATTGAGTCCTCTACAATCGACCAGGTCTAGTCTGAATTGAGTTGTCTACAACCTACCAGATCTAGTCTGAATTGAGTTGTCTACAACCTTCCAGATCTAGTCTGAATTGAGTTGTCTACTACCTACCAGATCTAGTCTGAATTGAGTCCTCTACAACCTATCAGATCTAGTTTGAATTGAGTTGTCAACAACCGACCAGATCTAGTCTGAATTGAGTTGTCTACAAACTACCAGAATTGAGTCGTCTACAACCTACCATATCTAGTCTGAATTGAATTGTCTACAACCTACCAGATCTAGTCTGAATTGAGTTGTCTACAACCTACCATACCTAGTCTGAATTGAATTGTCTACAACCAAACAGATCTAGTCTGAATTGAGTTGTCTACAACCGAACAGATCTAGTCTGAATTGAGTTGTCTACAACCAAACAAATCTAGTCTGAATTGAGTTGTCTACAACCGAACAGATCTAGTCTGAATTGAATTGTCTACAACCGAACAGATCTAGTCTGAATTGAGTTGTCTACAACCGAACAGATCTAGTCTGAATTGAGTTGTCTACAACCGAACAGATCTAGTCTGAATTGAATTGTCTACAACCGAACAGATCTAGTCTGAATTGAGTTGTCTACAACCGAACAGATCTAGTCTGAATTGAGTTGTCTACAACCGAACAGATCTAGTCTGAATTGAATGGTCTACAACCGAACAGATCTAGTCTGAATTGAGTTGTCTACAACCGAACGGATCAATGACTACAGTTGTAGTGATCACAATACTTCCATTAGTAACCCAACATGTTTTTCCATGGTTATAATAAAAAGATGTGCTTATAACAGAATAGAGAAAATACAGAATATTACTGAAGATGAACTATGGCAACCAATCAAAAGTTGATTCAATTAATGACATCAGCAGTCAGCATCAACATGAACATTTTATATAAAACTTTACCACTTTCCAAACATGGGGGTACAATTACATTTTATAAAATATTTAGAATTCTCAGAACAAAAGCAGTTAAAACACATTTGTGCTCATGTTTCAAACAAAGTCATGCTAGGAAACCAGTAAAGAAAGAAACTGTTTGAAACTATCTTGGGATTATTGTTTCATTCTGAAAACAATTACATTGTTTCATTGTAGAAAGTTAGACACAATTAGTGCTTAAATGGATAGTACCGGTACCTTTAATTAATCTGCAGAAACACTAACAAACTTAGGGATATTTGGTGACTTTGGAACATAAGAGACTTTAAACCTTAAACAAGGAGTGGAATGAAATTGATATGTAGCACCAAAATGGAATGAATCGCACACCCTGGCTGGCAATTTTGCTCTTGGATTTTCTGGATTTGTTATTTGAACCAGTAAACAAGGGTGTGAATTACGTAATCTACATTTGCATAATATTGAAGAAAAGCAGAACGTGCAGTAAAATTTGTTAATTTGACGGTGAAAGAAATTGAGTTCAATAACTTACTCGCGGCTTTGTAGTAGATCCTCACATACAATGAATAAAACAATTTCTAGACATTGTTTGTTAATCAAATGAAGGTTCAACAGCTAAGTGCAGCATGTGACCCTTTAACTAATTTTTTAACTGTAATTTGTGTTTTAATTTCAAAGAACTGAACATGTCAAAGGTGAAAACTTTTTCTCATAGCATCAGTGAATGTATTCCTAAGTGGGATGTTCCAATTTAAAAAGAGTTCACTGATTGGTCCACATAGTATCAATGAGAACTTTTAACAAGTGTGACGAATATTGTCAGTACGTTTACTACCACAAATCTATAAAATTTTAATTAAAGCAGCAATCACCAAAAAAAAACAATTTTAAAAACTCCTGAGATTCAAAAATACAACAGATCACTTCGCAGCAGATGAATTCAACTGATACTGAACAGCGCCCTCTATGTTGAGTACTCGCATCACTCTAAAGAATCACATTAAAACAAATATTTTTTTTAATTAATTAAGTTAATTTTTCAAGATTTTTTTTTTGTATTTTCAGCATTTATATTGTAATGAAATTTTTTTTGTACAAAAAGAACACTTATGTGTTCAGTCTCAGCATTTTTCGGGGGAATTTGTGAGGTTTGTTAAATCAACATAGTATATTCAGAACGACTTTATCAGTAAAAATATTTCATGACACCCCCCCCCCCCCCCTTAAGTTTACATATTTGGTGTCGCAAGACAGTTCCATAGTCGCTGCCACAGTTCTTTTTTACAAGACTTGGATCGTTGTAAAGTTCGGAGTAATTCACTAAATTGTACCATGCCACCAGGAACCATGGAGAATGCACCCCTTGCAGATCGTACAATATTCACAAATTCATCATACTCATTTGGAGCAATATGGAATAAACGCTGGTGTATACACTGTGTATACATCTGAAGGCATTTCTGGACAATAGGACTGAGAATAGGAGATCGTAGATTGGCTGATACTTGAGCATGATTGGTTTGTGTCAAGTAGTGCGCTGATTCTATCGCAATTTCTTGTAGTATAAATGGACTAACGATGATGTTAACAGCACTGACGCAGAATTGTTGTAAGAATGATGTACCTACAAATTAAATAAAATGCAAGTATATCAGATGATATAAAGAATGTATTAATTGTATACAGTACAAAGATATGATTCAATATCAGATAATATCACTCTCTCATGCACAAATTTCAGACTTGTTGATATCATGGAAACATTTTATGTGAAATGAACAATCAATTAAAATCAATCAAAAGCTGCCTGATCACAAAGCAAATGCAAGACAAGCGACTGACAGTGGACACTCATGCAAGAACTTCAAAATCGCACATTAATAGCTGAAGTGTTGCATTATACACCTTGAGAAACTGCTGATTATTTTGCATTAGTATAACTTTATTTAGGGAAGTGGCGGAGGTTTTCTGAGCTTCTGCAACAATGCAAGTATATCCTAACAGCATTATTGTAATCAAGACCTATTTTAACACATTCATGGTAATAGAAAGCTATAATCGTAAACAAAATAACTGAATTTTCCTGTTGGAAACCTATATAGTGTAAACAGTATACAGTGTATTGGTTTCCTTCATTGACTAAAAAGTGTTCCAAGAACATTCAAGCGCAGGATGCTATTCATTGCATTCTCAGAATACTAGTATTATATCACACATAAATCAATAAACAAATTGACAGTAGAAAATTATCAAGTAAATAAGTGCATGTGTTACTAATAGAGCAAATATGGTAAGACAAAATACACAAGTTTTAACTGGCAATTAGTTTTAGCTAGTCTTGTTACCGGTGTTATAACTTAAGAGAAGTTTGATAATTACCTAGTTTCATGGCAACATTTAGCAGCCACTTGATGTCATCACCGTAAGGAGGGCTTCTAGCAAATCGTGTTTGTGGTCGTTCATCATGTACTCGTCTTGCGAGAGTCTCCATGGCTAGCATACCCACACGAAAGGTTGAATGTAGGTAGTATAGAGCTTGTTGATTGGTTGGAGATGCTACCACAGCCACAGGTGTACAGTTTTGGTTCGTCTGAGCAAGTTGGGGTGATGGTAGAGTAAACTGAGCCTGTGATGGATGTGCATAGGATATTGGTGCTGGAATGTGAGGTGGTTGAGTTACTGTTGGTGGTTGTGGTACATAGTGGAAATGTGATGACATAGGAATTGGTAAACATGTTGGTACCTGTGTAGCATAGTGTGATGGTGGAGGTGCTGTGGCTGTGGGTGGTGGTGGTGGTGCAGTTTGATAGGCATACTGTGGAATATATGCAGGTGGCATGGCTTGTGGACTGGTCACTGTCACAACAGCTGATGTTGACATAGGAGGTGTTACAGTCACTGGCATTGGCTGATCATATCCAGGTCTTTGACAGTAAGTATTAATGGGTATAAACTCTGCATACATCGGTGCATACGTGACAGCGGTTGTATAGCTTGGTGATATCCCCCCCATAGCAGCATTCATCATACTTTCATCCATTGGAAGAGACTCGCTCACATGAGTAATAAAATTAGTACTATCTGCAGTTACAGTCACTTGAGAATTTGTCGGAATTGCGACACAATTTGACAAAGAACTTTCATTAGATTTATGACAGGATTTCTCAAATAACCAGGACCACTGACGAGCTACATTAAACAAGACTTCAGGATACACTCCACCGCCTTTAGCTGCTTTCTCCACGGCAGCACAGGCTTTTTCCAGCATTCCCATATCCTGCTCTTTACACTGCAAGATTAAATCACAAAGTACAATTAGACTCAAAACAATCGACAACATTTAAATGATTTTGTTCTGTTACAACTCAGTTGAAAGAGCTAGATGTATCAGATGTTATAATATTATTTTGTAATGTCTACATTTGATGACAGGTGAAAGTGAGACAGGTATGTGGCGATTACAACTCCATGCAAAGGTTCTTGGCAGAAATACCAACAATCATTTTGTAATTCATAATCAAGTGTCAAAGACCAGCTACTATAAATATTAGAAATATATAAAATATACAAAACTAGTGTTTTTACTATATACATAATTGCTTTGCCTTGAATAACTTTACATCAAATTCAAATTTTGGCAACTTTGGCTGTCAATTGAATAGCATTGTTACATGTACTGAGGAAGTAACGATTAGAAAAACACACTAAACTGGTTGTAAAAAATGAAGTTGAACCAATTTACTTAAACTACAGGATCATATCACACACAAATGGAAGTGAAAATACATTTTGACCAAGGTGCATGAGACTCTGGAAAACATAAACACTAATGCCCATGTGTAAACAAAATTAGCATAATTTATTAGTGGACGAGTAAACAACAATATAGACTTTGCAGACTTGACTTGATTATTTTTGGGACTTCAAAATAAATAAAAAACAATCTTTATTTATAAATTAGTTGTAATGTGTTCTTTGTTTATGATAAAATAAATAGGATGCCAAAATTGACTCACTAAGTATTTTGGGTCATCATGGCTGCTCAGTTTAATATGGCCCATCAGTTCAAATTATTCCTGTAGCTATTTAATCTTAAAACCAAAAATGTTAATGATATAGCAGTGTTTATTGAAGACAACTGCATTGCTACAGCCATTGGTGAAATGATGGTGCTTTTTAAGACCTCTGAAGACTCAAGAAAGGTGCACTACTTCTAGGGCTTTGGTCATTACAACCACGCCTCAGGGGGATTCAATTAAGGCAGGTATATGCAGGGGGATACTCTAAAAAGGTTTGATATTTATGAGAATCAATGATGGCGATAAAGAGTTGATGAATATACACAACTTAAATTATTTGCACACAAGATTTTTGCTACAAATACTACACCAATTTTTGAAAAATACTTGCCTGCATGAGGGCTCTGTTGACTTCGGTAGGGTTCAGAGCATGTGCATGTGGTAAACAGGACAAAGCCAACTGAGCTGCTGCTCTCACCATATTTGGATCACGCCCTCTAGAGGCACGGTCTGCCAACGATGCTACTTCTGGTGGAGTTAAGTGGCCTTCCCAAGATTCCACCAATAAGAAGATAGCAGCACTACCAATCTCCATAGCTTGGCCTACAATAACAAGTAATAGATCATTTTTATAAAATTTGTTACTCTTGAAATGTGAAATAAATATGTTCACACAACCCATTGGTAAATACATAGAGTATGCTGTGAAACTTACCAGTTATCCATGAAACATGAGATAATTATGTACAGGACAACCAATTTGGAGATATATAATTACTTGTATCTTGCGAAACTTACCAGTTATCCATGAAACATGAGATGAGTACGTCCTCGACAACCAATTTGGAGATACATAATTATGCAGTCCCAATGCATAAAGACCAATCTCAAATGCACAGAGATGCAAAGCACGGTGAGGTCCGGCTTGATTGGAGCTATTAGCTGGCTGTGTAAATAGTGATGTACTACTGCTACCTCCAGCTTTATTGAGTACAGTTTTAGCTAACTCAAAGTAGAAATGAGCTGCTGCTTCACTAGGTTGGTTTGGCACTGTAGGGGATAAGCCTTCATTGCGACGACCACGTCGATACCTACTTGTTACAAAAAATACACCAATAAATCAAACTGACTCTAACAATGACACTTGCTTTAATGTAAAGCTTACATTAATTGTGAAGCCAAATGAAGATTGTGATTGTCAGGACCACTGGAGGAGACATTTAGCGTTTGCTAGCTTTAATACAAATGAAATAACGACAAATAACAATGTGTCCATGAGGAGTCATAAATAAAATGCCACAGTCATGATTGGCACCACAGCGATGTCGTCTCTCTTGAATGCTAGCAGTCACATTTATTTTGGTCAAGTTTTTCAGTCATTTATATTTACCTTGTATGCTATCATTGACGAATTATTAAAAGTAAGGTAATTAATAT